TGCAGCTTGTGCTTTCTATGATTATTGAATGTATCGAAGTTTTAGTTTTCCTTCTCCTATTTCAACATACTGCTTTATTACTCGGTATTATTCTCTCATTATGTGGCATTGTGACTTTTTTTGTATGGTTCTTCAATTTATCTAAGACGCAAAGAAGAAGATGATGATAATGATCGCTCCGTTCTAGTACACATCTGCCTTTGGAATATTGTAGGTATTAGCAGCTTACCAGTTCTGGTCACTTTTATGAATGAAACTTCAAATCTTCGCCATTCTTCAATGTTAATGAGAGATATTTTTTTTATTATTCATTACTAGTCATGTTCGGATTGGAATTGACGAAAGCAAACGTAATGATTCAACTTTGAATAAAATATGGGAAAGACTAATACCCAGACAATGGAAAAAAAAAGAAAAAGAGTTTTATGTCGATTTCGTAAATTCGAAAGAAATGGATGAGCTAATTTCTGTAATATAATGAGTGTTCAGATAGATTCAGCACACATGGCTTTCATTGAACATTATGTTTGAAAACATTTTACGGTCCTGCTTCTCATGACGATGGTGTTGCCGTTGCACCAACGTCAGCTTCTTCGCTTTCATTTGTACTTGCAATTGAGCCGGACTCTACACTTGTAGAGTCATTTTTGCTGTCTTCTGAACTTAATGAAGAGTCACCATTTCCCGAAGATTTTTTGTCTTCACTACTTGAAGTATTATCAATATCTTCAGAAGAAGTATCTTAATCTGGAGGAACTGAAGAATCCCCATTTTCATTACTTTCACTTATAAAAGTTGTATTATTTAATAATGTAGGATTATTGCCGTTATCGTTGATAACGTCTTGAACATTGTCGGTTTTAATAGTTATCATCAGAAAGCATACGATGGAGAACAACAGAATAATTGTGTGACGCATCTCTCGCTTGAACCTTGTTTGAATAAAAGAACACATACTAATTTTCACACTATTATATAGTTTCTTAAACGGCTTGTATGTGAATACATACTAAAGTAAAAGACCAGCTGTGACATATAAGTTGAATTATATTTCTCGTGACACATTCTGAGATGTGAAGCGGGGGACAAAATTTGAAGGCCCTTTTTCTAGTTTTTGTTTTTCTCCATCAAATGATACTTTTAATAAACATTCAGATAGTGATTTCGATAGGTCTCGGAACGACCCACAACTCTATTATATCGCAAACATTAGTTGTGTACACATTAAGTGTTAACGACAGAAACTGTTTCTCGCTTAGCAGAAAAATATTTTAAGGCACTTTTTTGGTATTTTTTTTCGGTTTTGAAGTACATAGTATTCAAAGAAAATGCATTGAAAGCAAGTTAGCGCAGCTCAAAAGGAGCTGAAATGTGGAACTCAAGTATGTCTTTCAGATTTGTTATCCTAATAGGTCATCTGTAAACTGAAAAATATCTGTTAACTAAAGTGATTTTTATAACTCATCGCTGACAAGAATAATAATTTATAACTTATTTCTACTTTTAAAACAGTGACTGTCTTTTTCATTCGAGCGCGACCATTTTTTCTTTATCAACGTTGCTATATATTCGGTAATAATAATTCTTTTTTGTTTTTTCTTATTTAAATTTTTTTTCACCATCGATTATTTTTATAAATACGAATCTTACAATAATACACGTGATATGCATCGGCTGGTCTTACCATACTATTATATATATCAATTAATTCATAAATAATGATATTGTTCACTTCTGACACTAATAAAAAGATCGAATTATGTTTCTTGTATTGATGATATCATCGATATGACAGATTAATATCTATTATTACTGTTCATCCTTGATTTTTAGCACACAAGTTCTAATTCTTAAAAAAGTCAAGGATTATACTATTAAGAATTTTGTTAAGTGTATATTACTTTTTTCAAAAATTTATGAAAACATTATAATATTGTATATAGCAGTTAAATTCATATTGTTCAACTCTTTTTCTACCGTTATATAAAGCTGAAGTTCTTGGCATACAGCTGCTCAGGTCTGTAATGGTGGATATGTCTGTGATGGGGAGGGGAGGGGGAGCCGCAAAACCTTCACCTTAAAACTTACACTCACTATTTTCTTTGAAAATATACGTAAATTCCACAAAAACCAAGCAAAACTGTGTAATTTCTGATTTACAACAAAGTCTTAATGAGATTTTTTAAGCACTTTTTCAAAATTTAGTTAATATTCTATCAATAATTGAGAAAAGTGAGGTTTAAAAGGCAGTTTCAAAACTCTGAAAACAGTGTATTATGTAGAGCAAAGTTTGTTCTATCGAACAAGACCTAGCGCTCTTTTTTTACCTGTCATAAAAACTAAACGGATTTTGTATGATACGTCAACAAGTCTATTCGCTTTGATTGTTGCTCTACTTTCAATTGATGCTTTTGACGAAATATAGAAAGAAAGTGAAAAAAAAAATGCATACAATTTCATACAACCTCATATATCATACAACAAAACGAAATAAAGAATATTTACAATGACACATAAGAAAAAATGTCCTCATTATAATATAAATATGACCTGATCATGCAGAAGAAAAAGAGATAAATTATCAAAATAGTTTATGTATTTTGAAACTAGGCGGTTTCTTTTCTAATTTATTTTCTTTATATTGATCAACTAGAATCAATAATGATTCATCGGTAGTTGATGATCTTCTCTGTTCTGATAATGTTACTTATGGAAATTTTCTAAAATTAGCTACAATTCGATTCACTCATGGATCGATAGCAGTACTTTATTTTAATCTAATATGTTCAACTATCTGATTGTGACATGCAATTTATACATTATCTAAATAGGATATCTTATAATTATTTATCATATCAAACGCGGTAACTATTTATATACGTACATGTGTAAATAGACACCATGCGAGAGTTTTTCTTAAAAGCCAGACATGAATCTGATTTCTAAAAGAAATCTGTTTGCACATTAAAATTAAGAAGAGCATTAATTGATCAATACAAAAAAAAATGGAGAATCTGAAAAAGATATATCCACGAATATCAATTCGTATGTTCGTTGTAATGCATCTGATGCCAAGAAAAGAATAAACGAGCAGTGATAATTGATTATGATATACTGTTTTTTCTATTGGATACGCGTCTAATAGAAAAAAAAAGACTCGACTTTGAAATATTTCAGTATGATAAAGACAATCAATATTACATATGAATGAGATGAGGCTTTAAAAACACTTAATAAATTATATAAGGTTCTCTTTCTTGACACAGTTGTCAATTTCTGTATTGTTAATATTTCATCATTTTTCCATTACAAAACTATGTTCGATAGTTATCCTAAGCGGTTTTTTAATTACTCGACTACATGTTTCATACATATAATTGGCAAACAACCACATATACAAAGCGTTATTAAAACTGAGAGTTCTGTGCATATATAAACTTTCGAATTGACGTCCGACTGAATCGATAAAATTGAAAATCTTATTGAGGATGTGGGTGAGACCGAGTGTATCGAAAGAGTACGACATCGCTAGATCCATACCCACAGCCACACCCACACAGCCACACCCCACACACCCACACCCATCCACAGCCACACCCATTCACAGCCACACCCCACACATCCACACCCATCCACACCCACACCCACACCCATCCATACCTCTATTCTTATGAAAACTCGACACCTGATACCTGACGCCACAATATACCATTGTTTTTGCGTACCAAAATAGAAAATTTTACGACTGTTCTCAGCGCATATCTATAAAATATTTACGAATATCGCGTCTAAAGAAATAAATATCATGTACGATAAGAAACCTGATCTTAAAAATCTATTCTCATGATTACTCGAAACATGATTTATTTGGATACATAAACGAATATTGATAATTTCTCAAGTGTTCTTATGTCAATTTTGGTTTTATTTGACGTTCTTCTAATCTATATATTAGTATGTGTCTTATACTTAGCTTTCATTTATATCGACTACAATGGTTTCAATTGCTACCCTCATATTGATCATTGTTCTGCTCGAGCTGTCAAGTCAGCATCAAACGGATGTGATTGATGAGAATTCATTCATAACTTTTGAAGATAATTCGCTAGCACAAATCGAGCATCGTGCATCGAATACTCCAATAAATGGTAGTGTTCGACCTAGCTTGGCTAAAGGAACGGTCAATGTTCAAACTCTAACCATGTTTGAATATGATGGTAAGCAAATTTATGTATATTCGGCCAAATTCAACGATGATAAATCGGAGCCCAAAAAATGGAAATTCTACTACGTTCCTGTCATGCAACCGATTCGACCAACGAATTCGGATTGGGTATGGACAGTAGGCAGAGAAGTGCGCATGAAACTTATCGTTGGCGATGCGAACATAGAAGCAGCGGCTCGAAGAGCTATTGCTAACAAATACAGCGATGAGTTAGTTGAAAATTATTTGAGATTCTGGGATGTGGCACCACTTATGATCGATTCACTCGTGGCATACGTGGTAAAAGGAAGTAGCTCAGCAGTTGAAGGTGTTCTTCCTTATCACCTAATTCATCCGAACTATATGGTAATTACTTTTCGATTTGAGTGTGCAAACAACGAAAGTGCGCTCAACGTTGCTCAACAATTGCTTGATGGATACTATGAGGCGGAGATAGCATTTCACTTTGACGGATTTTTTGACGTGAGTACCAGTATGGTGACGATCACTGGGGATCAACTCAAGTCAGTCCTTAGTAAAACAGTCGCTGATGGAGGCAATGCAAATGCTCAATTCATTCATCGTAATCAAGCAACTGACTTCGTCGGAAAATACTTGACCAATGTTCAAAAAATGATTTACGTGGAAGACTCTAAAGCCGACATATCTGCGTTAACAGCAGGCCTCAGCGAGCAATTCAATGCACTTTTTCAACAAGGTCCTATAACTGAGAACTTTATTCATCGATTACATGTATGTTTTAGGTGTCCAAAGCACGTCAGAAACGAGAAAGGAAATGGATCTTTATGGCCAAGTTTGGCAATCATCTGATCTCAGTCCCGATCGTTTGACTAGTGAACTGAACAAAGTGTTTACTCTCAACGAAAGTGCCACCGAAGCGCATGGAAATAAAGAAAAATATTACAACGTGAATCAGGAAGCTGCTGCAGAGTATGCCAAGTCAGGATCGGCAAGCCTCACTGTTGGCTGGAAGTTCATAGGTGGATCTGCATCCGCTCAATATGCAGAATCAGGCTCGACTTCCCAAGCAAGTAGTGTGACGCAGCATGATGTTATGTCAGAGTCAGACATAAAACACTTCATTAATCAACAGTCAGTTGAAATCGCATGGGAGGGAGAGAAATTTATTCCCAAAGCTTTCAAAGTGGTTAAAGTGACGGATGTAGCTGATCGCATGCAAGTTGCCGTCATTGCAAAACAACTCACCGCGGAGCAATCAAGGGGAGCAATCATCCGTTCGGTGAGCGCATTGAATAATCCTACTCCGTCATCATTAGCATTGTTCACCGGAGAAATTCGTCTATATGCATCAGTACTTAGGGATCCACCTATCAACTGGTTGCGATGCAATGGCTCGAGAGTGTCACGCGTTACATACTCACGTCTGTTTGCTGTAATAGGGACCACATATGATGTAAATAACAATGACACGACTAGTTTTCAACTACCTGACTTGCGTGGTCGTGTTGTAGTAGGAAGAGATCCATCGGAAATTCGAACAAATAATACGTCGAGGATGGGCGCTACAGGCGGACAGTCGAGACATACTTTAACAAATGATCAACTACCTGCACATTATCATGATCGAGGTTCGTTGACAATTGGCGCCAGTGGATCGCACACGCATGGCATCTACGACCCAGGACATCAGCACAATGCGGATATTCGTGAAAACGGTGGAAGTAGTCAAGACGGCTATTATTTTAATGCGATTAATGGAAAACATAACTGGTACAGTGGCCGAGTGAAAGTCCAGTCGACTACTACCGGTATCTTAGTAAATACTGTTGGAAATCATGCGCACACATTGACTGGAAATACAGGTTCGACAGGAAATGCACATTCATTTTCTCTTCTCAATCCATATCAAACATTGGACTACATCATATATGCTGGTTAAAGACTAAAATTACATGCTGTAACAGACTCTATACATGAAAATTTGATGATCAATCTGAATCATATCTATATTTGAGTGAGAACCTATGTATGCTTAATCTTCCCTCTTATTGTGAGTTTTTGTTGTAACTTAAGAATACAATTCATACACTTTCCATAATAAATATACGCGTCTACTCTACGCGGCGAGCGCTACCAAATGAATCCGTCAACTGACACAATAAAGAGAAGAAAGCTTTTCTCGTTCAAAACGATGTTCTTTTACAGATTACGCATCATCGTAGCCTGCACTAATTGTATTGCACGAGTTTCTTCATAGACAAGCATGAAGACGAGAGTGAAGGCGGCGTTTACCAGCGGTGCAGAATCTGTCAGTGAAATAAAAAATTTCCCCCAACGGCAAAATTTTTGTGAAAAATTTTCCCGCTATAAAATTTAATTAGACAACGAGCTTTCTCGTTTAAGATATTTATTCAAAAGAACCTATCACTATTCAACACATTGCAATTACATATTAAAGGGAAGAATGCTATTATTCAATATGGTTTGTTTCAGATAATCTAGCTGCTTGTACTTTTCGTAAATGATGTAAACTAAAAAATGACACTCTGTCAAGTTGTTTTCTGAAATCTTCAATTTAAATTTTTCTTCAGGATGATTTTTTTGCTTTATCTTTTCGCCCGGTCTATTCACAATAAAAATATGAAACCTACTATTTGTTTGAGTACTTTTCTACTATTTAAATTACTTTTTTAAAAGGGTGTGGTTGTAGGTGGTGTGGATGTGCGTGGGTGTGGGCGCGGTGTGGGTGTGGGTATGGGTTTGGAGATCAGTCTTCTTTCATCCCACACCCACACCCACACCCACACCCACACCCACACCCACACCCACACCCACACCCACACCCACACCCACACCCACACCCA